CAAAAAAGGTGAGGACAGATTGAGCTGCATGTTCTTCCCCGGAGACACGCTGACAGCCAGGAGCGAGACTCAGGGGTCAGAGTTCAGCCTCAGGAGGCATGAGTGGCAAACGTGAATTTGCTTTTAACATGAGTTAAAAAAATAAATAAATAAATAGCGGTCGACAACAGACACCTTGCCTGTGCACCGCATGAGGACACGTAAGCGAAGCAAGGACATTCGCACAGGTCGGGCCTGCAGGCTCCCCCGCACTGGGGGGGGTTACAGGCCGGGGATCACGCTGACTTGGCCGAAAGCTCTGCTTGATTTACAGGCCTCACTTGGGCACCGGCTCAGCTGCAGACATGTATGGCAGTACCAGCGAGGAGGCCCGACACGCGGCCACGCTCTCTTGGCAGCTGCCGGGATCAACCCCCCCCCTCGCTCGCTCACCCCACCACGGTCACCTCGGGGGGGGCCACTACAGAATGAGGCCTGGACCCTTTGGCCAAAAACGTACGAGATTTATTGAAGGACATTACCTGCAAATGACGGATTTTCAGACTGTGCCTTTCCAGACTGGAGAGTGGAGGCTCCAGAGACAGAGAGAGACGCAGCACGGCGTGCGGGCCGCCCCTGGAGAGACGAGGCGCGGCGTGCGGGCCGCCCCCGGAGAGACGCGGCGCGGCGTGCGGGCCGCCCCCGGAGAGACGCGGCGCGGCGTACGGGCCGCCCTGAGACGCCCTCGCCTCCGCTCCCATCCCTGAGCAGACAGGTCACCATGCCCGTCGCTGCGGGCGACCGCGTTTTACGTCAAGGCCCTAAGAAAACATGTATGAAACTCAAGTGGAGTCAGACTTTACTTTACCGCACACCAAAACCCAAAATACACACTACCCTATCCAAACCAAATACCACGTACAACCTCCTTCCAATGAGCGACTCACCGAAACCAAAACGCAGCATATGACATGTACCGGAGAATATAAAATCCAGTGGTCTGACTGCAGCGGGCCCAAGGTCCGGCACACGGTGGCCCTTGCGAGTGCCCAATTGTAAAACTGAGCACAAAATGGACCAGGGAGACCAGTTAAGGTTTTTTGACAACAGGGATTTGGGTGCAGCAGTTTCACACCCCCTCCCTGTCCCAAGATACACACCCAACGAGTCTTTAACACAGGATTTATGTTCAAAGCCATACAGCTGACAGGCCATTTGCACCATATAGACCACATAGAGGCGGGGATATTCCAGAAAAGTCAGGGGCCATAAGCACACAGCCAATAAAAATCTATAAAGCTACACCTGATATGAAACAGGCGCTTTTTGCGAAACTTACAAAGGGGTAGGAAACTGCATTCCAGCTCAGACACAGCTGTCCCCCCCTGAGCAGGTAGGACATCCAAGCCAGCAGTATTCTTTTATTAATTATGAGTAAACAGCATCAGTCCATGGCAGCCCTGTCAGATGGTAGCTAGGCCGGCCCCCTTTCCATGCCCCTCCCATTTCTTAGGGATACAGACAGCGAGGGGGGTGGGGGGGGGCAGCGAGGCGGCCGGCGGCTTGCCAGGAAGCCGTCAACGGAGTGGCATGCGGCGGCAATCAGGCGGGCCGGACACAGTGCTGGGTGGCACCTCCCATGGAAACAGGCTTCATGGGAACCAGCGGCAGCGGGTCCGACGGTGAGGGTCACACACACGTCCAGCCTGGCACGTGTTGCCGTGTTTCCGGCGGGGGGTGTGATGGCTTGGAAAACCGGCCTGCCCAGTGCTGTGGCACATCATATACCCCCCCCCCCCGACACCATCCAAAATTCCAACACCAAAGTAGAGTAATGAGCCGTCATCGAGACCTGCAACTGATTACGAATCCTCGGATAGCCAGAAAGCAGCCTCCTTACGCTAATTCCCTAACAGCTCACAGGAAAATAACATCTGTAAGGACCGGGAGGCATTTGTGGCTGGGGGGGGGGATGTTCCAGCACATTATCTGAATCCCTGGCATCTTGCAGGAAGCAGCCTTCTCTTGGAACCCAAACCATTTATCCTGTCCGGCTGCAGCGTTGGATGGCACGGGATGGCATGGGACAGCAGTACCCGCTGCTGCGATGCCCCGCAGGCCTAAGCCCCCCCTCCCATGTGACCCCTTAAGAACCAGCAACATGAATGACGATATTCAATCATCAGACACACAGACATGCAGGAGAATCATGCAGGAGATCATGTGACCACCCCATCTTTGGTTTTGGGTCAAAACAAGCCCCCAGTGGCTTTTCTCTCACCCAGGCCTGAAAACACATCTTTTCACTATTGGTTATTTTTTCAGAGACATCTGAAATGCAATATGATGCATTGCCCCCACCCTCCATGAAAAGTAGTGCTGCCAGTAGTGAATGGGGAACAGGGGGATGCCAGCTGACTGGGGCAGAGCAGATCGACCCCAGTGTGCACCAGCGGGCACCCTCAGGGACCCACAGTGACCAACGTGTATGCAAACACACACACAGACACACACACGTGTCAGGTAAACATATCTTTATGGGGACCACTCATTCATTTCTATGGGAAAAATGCTAACGCTAACTATGACAACCTTAACCCCTACCCAGCCCTAACCATAACTATAAGTAACCAAGCAAAATACAAGAGTTTTTGCATTTTTTAGTTTTTTCATTGCAGTCACAGATTTTTATTAAATTGAGTTTTCCCTTATGGGGACCAGGAAACTGGTCACCATAATGGGAAAAAAAATGGGTATTCATCAAGTTGTGAGGACATCGTGTCCCCATAAGGTAAGGTATACCCGCTCTCTCTTTCTCTCTCTCTCTCTCTCTCTCTCTCTCTCTCACACACACACACACACACACACACATATATGCAAAGTAGCTCCAGGATTGCACTTCACATTAAGCACAAACGCACCACCACTTTCACTCCCCAACCATAAATTGGGCATGTGCATTAAAAAAATAATAAATACAAAAGGCACTTTGCCGGCCGACACACTATACATGCTGGGCTGGCTGGGGGGGGCTGGAGAGGCCAACATGGACACCAGCCCACAGGTACTGAAGGGAAAATCAGAGCCCATGGAACAGAATATCCAAGGTTCACCCACTGTGAAGCCATTTAACACAGGCCCACTTTCGTGAGCATGATGCTAAGGGAGAACCGTCATGAAGAACAATCAGAACAATGTCACCAGTACGGAGAGGAGAGAACAGAGGCCAGACTTTAACACACACACACACACACACACACAGAAATCTAGAGAGATTAACCTTACAAAAAACGATATATATATATATATATATACATACCATTCGATTTGCTTATGGATTTAGCCCTATGTTTTATGCATATGGGAAAACTTTTTTTTTCGTTAACATACTTAAACATTTTTGAGTGATTTCCGAAAAATTTATGATCCTGATTCTTAAACGTCATGAACAGGTAATTACTTACATAATCATAGTATACAGGGTGAGACCCGTACAATGTCGTTCATGCTGATTGCAGGAATTCGTGCGGGAAAAGAGGAATTAATCCTGTTAGGAGCCAAAGTCTTGAATGCAATTTGCCATTTAAGACTAAGTAAGCGCGTTACAGTTTAGGAAAAAAAAGATTATTATTAATACTATCAATCACAGATCATCGAATTACAATGGCCGTATGTAAGCAATGAACTGCTGGGGACGGAGGCGGCGATTTAGAAATATCAAACGAACCCTTCAACATCGTGAATTCTCACAGAAATTCAAAATAATATTTTTAACAAACATTTCCCCAAAAACAATAAAAAACTTAACTGGTTTATTGCAGTTTTTAAATTTTATGGCGGACAGACAATTTGACGTCATGCTATATCGTCTGCTACAGCTGAACTATTTTGATTTTATTTAGTCGTTTTATTTTTAAGATGTTCCTGTATCAAAATCGCATTTAAACATTTTGTGCTGATAATTATTTTAGTGCAGCTGATGGCATTTTTAAGCGTCTCTTTGGTAGTCAGGGGGGTTGGGACATATTTCGATAATTGTTTTAAATCAAATCGTTTTCTATAATATGCCTAAATCTATTATGAAATTAGAGATTATATACATCAAGTTTCCCAATATCGAAATGAATCGTTCAAAATGTGTTTGAGTGTAACATTTTATACTAAATGTCTCAGCCCAACATCGACTGGCTCTTTGTTTTGGAAATGGGTGTGCATTTTAAGATTTTAAACAAATGAAATGTATTAAGTTAGCAGCATATAACTATAAATATAAATCGTAATACAAATTAAAATGAACATTTAACGTTACTGCTGTAACCGACCACGTTGTTACTACTGAAATGGGCTGAATACGTTCCAAATTAACTGATAACTTAACTATAAACAAGATATTAAATATATTAAAATGACATTTTACACAGATCGATTAACATATTCCTAAATAAAACTAATTCGACCAGCAACGGAGAGCAACCTTTATATTACTGTATGAAGATTGATAACGTTATTATTACCGAGTCTTCTGTATTACATTCTCACGACCAAATTTAATGGGTAGAGGGTTCTGGTACAGACAAAGGGCATTCGGGCCTTACGTATGAAGCGAGGTTTTTTCATTGCATGACACCAAGTACTTTCAGGATTTTAAAGTAATACCGTCTAGTCATCTGCCTTAATAATTCACCTTTTAATTTTGTCATATCTTATTATAGGCGCCCACATAAGAGTCCCAAACAAATTCTGCCAACCATGAAAAGTGGGTCACTTATAAGGGAGTTATGTTGACATAATGTGTCCACAGTAAAGCTACAATTTTAAAAGAATCCTACAATACCAGATGTATTAGCAATAACTATCACCGTCAACTTCTGTTCTTGGAGGAAATGCTTGTAACAGAAAGAAGCGAGATCCTTACAGCACCTACTCATCAAACTTGCTATGAGAAGAAACGGTGACAGTGTCTCTTTCTTAGACCTGGAAACCCTTAAAATTCACTGCCACAGCCGTGCTTGCGTCCTTACCTTTTTGTGTCGGTCTTTAAAAGGCAAAGCCGGCCATTGCATCTCCTGTAAGAAGTCCTGCCAGTGTTTCTGGTCCTGATCGGAGGAGATGAAGACGATCTCTAGTTTGTCTTTGTGCTCTGACGATTTTTTGAACTTGCTGTAAAACTCGCACAGGCTGGCGTTGAACTGTCTGCAGGGACCGTTCAAGCTGCAGCCGAAGTAGAGCCCGACCAACGACAGCTTGCCAGCCAGCGCCTGCACATCTACCTCGGCTTTCTCGCTGTTGACGAGCCGCTCCCCGAGCAGATTCACCAGAAACTCCGACATCGCAGCTGGAGACCCACAATCAAATCGTGATAATATCCGTGTGTGCTTCCTCCACAAAACAATTAAGAATAATTTAAAAATAAAAAATCAAAATTGAGATATCAGCAGGAATCCAAGACGCCCACTTCCCCTTGTTTCAGCTCCTTGGACAAAAAAGCAAAGCGTGGAGTGTGCGCGTGTGTGTGTATGGTGTGTGCGGCGAGCGCCTGCAGTCTCCTCCAGTGTGTGCTGTTAAGGAATGCGACTCACTGTAGTTTGCAGCCGGCTCGGCTCCCCCGGCTGGCCGGCGAAACGAACGGCTCTGTAGCGACACCTATGTTCCCAAGTGCGCCATTGCGCCGTTTGCGTCGTAACGCCTGAACAGGCGGAACGGCGCGCCGAAAGGCGCGCGAAACAGGGCCTGTTCTGTGTGAATGGAGGTACGGCTACACTAACGGTCTGTCCTGTTTTTGTTACGTTCTAGCTTTAATTATTATTTTAGCGAAATTGAGAAAGTATGATATACTTTATAGTTATTCCCAGATTGATTTTGCCCGTTAAAATTATGCTTATTTCGTAAGCCAACAATAGGTCCGTTTCTTTAACTTATTGTGAAACAACTGGGTAGATAATTTCTCGAATTCCGAACAGCTGTTTCTTAGTTTAATCCTAATATTTATGCAATCATAAAACCAGGGAGAAAAATCCAATTCTTCATCATGAGTCACTGAAAAGGAAAGGGTGCCATCTCCTGATCAAAATACGTAATTACAGGTTCTTTTTTTACAGTTAGGCACTGACGCAACCTTTGGTATCAAGTTTCTATACATTAAAGCTTCTGCAAGATAGATGATGACAATAGGGCAAACGACACAAAGTGTGTGCGTGCAAGGGTAATATGGACAATCCAAAAAGCAGAGAGAGAGAGTGGACGACGGAGGTTTTACCCAGAGAATTTTACCTAGAGAACACAAGCAGAACACATAATTCATTTCACACAATGCCACCATTTATTAATTTAAATGCCATCTATAGACACTTTAGTACAAGACACCTCACAGGAATGTTTAAAGCCTTGATGGTAGGATGGGAAGGTAAAGACCAAAACAGATTTTGGCAGACATATTACATTACATTATATTAAACTATTTCTATCTGAAAGTGTAAGTCAACAAAAGGACCATCTCTGACTCCAAACCATTAAAATGAAAGACACTACACAATGATGAGAAAAGTTTTTCCTGGTCAGGGGAAGGTGCAAATCACAGCAAAATCATGAAAATGGGAAGGTGTTTCTGATTAAGGCATTGGGGGGAGCAGTGTCTTGGGCTAATGCAGTGTCTTTTTTAGGGGGCTGTGTGAAGGGGGGCAGTGTGAAACTCAGCCTTCAGTCCTCAGTGAACATCATCCGCACCAGGTCCGACCTGAAGCACTCGTCCTCCACTAGTTTCTGGGGCTGAAACAGAAAGGCAGGGACACTCAGGTGTGCACATGCTAACAAGCTATTGCTAACAGCAGAAGAAGAGCCTTGTGCCTGCAAACTTCTCAAAAGACAGCAAGTACCAATGGCCCTGAAATGGTGGCAAGAGTTTCAGACTCACTGTGCCATAGCGCAGCAGGGTGGGAACAGCACTGAGCTTCAGCGTCTTCTTAAATTCATTGTAGGGATCTTTCCAGCTAGTTTGGGAAAAAGAGGAGCGTTGTGTCAAATGAAAATGCAGCCTTATCTGTACGGTCTAAAGTACAAACACTTTAATCCCTATTTCACTTTCATTACCATAAATCTGCACAGCACTGCATTTTGTATATTTTGACACAATTGGAAAGAATATAATTTAGTGGTCATGGTTGTAATGAGGGATCGGCAGGGAGGCTAACACTGTCAGTTTCAGGGCTGCAGGTTCAAATCCCCTGTCTGTGTATGAGTGCAGTCGGCCTGCTCTCCCTGCATCTGACAGGTTTCCGCTGGGTACTCCCGTTTCCTCTCACACTCCAAAGACTTGCAGTTATGCTTAAGGGGGTCTCTATAATGCCGGTAGAGTGTGACTATATGTCTACGTGCTGTGATGAAATGGCATCCAGTCCTGGGTGTACATCTGCCTTGTATCCTATACTAACTTTTGCAGATTCCAGGCCCCCACAACCCTGGGTGGTTATGACCAAGAAGAAAACAGTAAAAATGTAACCAATCATCCTTATGGCTTGTATCCACAAGCTGACGCCTATGAATGTTCATAGGCATATTTGTGTTTACTTACTAAGGTCGATCTCCGACTTGGCAGTAAATGAAGACAGATCCTTCTGGAAGGTGGCGCAGCTCTCCCCGAACCACTGGCTCCGCTACGGGTAATCGACAGCACGTAACACAAATACAACAAGCCTCGGTCTCCAGCATTACCACCTAGCAATTAAAGCAGTGACATTATACTGCCAGCTAGGTATATGAGTCTTAAGTTCGTGTTATTTATTAACTACTCGATACAAAATGGGTTGTATAATTCCACTTGTTGCGTTGAATCTTGATAGAAAATCATTTGTCATGCTTCCTTCTAATTAAACTAATACATCAGAGAGAACTTAAAAAAATCCAGAAAAGACGTTGTCATAGCACCAGCCATATAAAAAGGAGGAATAACGAGCAAACAATACCTTTCACACAATCTGGACACCAGCTTTTTCCATTCGCGTCTTTATCGCCGGAGAAATATGCGAATATGTCTTTGCCTTTCCTGTCTGATACTGCTGTGTTAAATTCATCATATCCGTGAACATTAACCTCTTCGTAATGGGTCATGCCTACGTTACTAATAGTTATTTTCTGTACGAGATCAGTAGCGGAATATAACGCCTGTGTCCAGATTCACGACTCACGAAATTATGATCTATGAACACAGCTAAGGTAATTGTCTTAAGAAGGAAAAAAATACACTTCCTGTCAATGCTGAAATATTAAAATGATAACTAGGAAATACCTATTTTTCGTCGACAGCATTTAATACTAGTGCAGTGTGCTATTCTAAATATGAAAAGTTATTAAAATCACCTTACATCTATTATATACGAAGAGATATAAATGTGTTATGTAGGTGAGGTTAACAAGCTTGACTCACACGGCTTCCGTAACTCACTGCGTCACTTCCGGTCCGTCGCTTTTGTGTTGTTATGGCGGCGTTTTAAACTGACGGAAGTATCGCTCCAAAATATAGATACGGTACTGGATGTAATTAATTCATTCGTTACAGTTATTCTTGATTAAATATGACTAATACTTACTCATCAAAGGCATGTTGGTAGATGAGACATTTTCCGGTACATTTGAGGAAATACTGCTGGTTTTCTGTGGTAATCAGTTTGTCTGCATCTCATTGTTTTGGCTTTAGATCTCCTAGGATGTCACCAGCAGCATTTTCTTAATTCGTTATTAAATAGCCCGGTTTCTTTATATTTATTTTTATAATAACATTATCAACTTAAAACACACCTACTGTACCTGTACGTAGGTGTGACAGTGACCGTTTGTTTTGACTGGTATATTAAGATATAGCGCTTCGAGTTCTCGAAGTGATATTCTCATATTTAGTATTATCTCTGCTCGTATGTTACCGGCACGAAGAAGATGATGCTGCAGGAAGGAGGGCAGACGAGCTTTCGGGAACCGGGCCGCTGGGGCACTTCGGGCTCTGTCCAGACTCGGAATGGTTTTCCCCTTCAGACGCAGGTAAGACCCAGTTTTCCCATCCATCCATTATCGTAACCGCTTAGTCCCCAATGGGGTCGCGGGGGACCCGGAGCCTATCCCGGGAGCATCAGGCGCAGGCGGGAACCAACCCTGGGTGGGCGCCAACACACTGAGGGCGCCCAATTTTCCCGACATGTCGAATTTTTTCTGATTTTTTGGGATGTAATGAGAAGGAACGAAGTGTCGGTGAGAAAGTCAATCACAGCTTTAATGCTACCAAGGAATGGGTTTGCGGTCTATCAGCTAATTAAATAATCAAAAATGAAACTGAATATTTGTCATTTTTGATGCCTTAAATGGGGGGGGGGAATGCTTATTTTGAATGACAAGAATTGTTTTTTGACGGCGTTGTGTCTGGCTTTTGTGTGCAGCTGCTCTTTAACAGATCTATCCCAGCCTGCGCCTTCAACCGTGTCACACAGGCGGGCCCTCCACCGCCCATCGTGATCGAGAAGCTGGCTCCGCCAAAGCAGAATGTGGAGGAAATCGCTGGTGGATCCCTGCGCTTCTCTGTGCTCTCTGAGGAGAGGCTGTTGGCGGCTGTCAGGCTGGCAAAGAGGGACCTGCGGCGTTTGCGTAGGGAGCCCACGAACTGCGCCTCCCTGTGGCGGCAGCCGGAGCAGCAGGCCGAGGGTTGCCAAGGCCCTAAGCACCAGCAGGTACTGCAGGCCGATTTTGCATCGTCCACCCATCCATGTCTAATCCAGGTCAGGTCATGGGGGACCTGCAGCCTCTCTCAGGTGATGCAGGACACAGACTGGGCTATGTCACCTGGCCACATACACCCACAGTCATATTCTGCGGGCACTTTAAAGACACCTGTGGAAGGCAACCAGAATGCCTGGAGGAAACTTAGTTTATTACCACTGATGCTTATTTATACATCTGGAGTGTCTAAGTGACACAGTCCTATGAATTTATGCATGGGTGCAGTATTTCTGTGCTGCTGCGTATGTGTGTTTACAAGATAAAATGGTTTGTATCTTAATTGATGCATTTTCCTGCTTTGTGAACATTTTGTACATTTACACAGTAACTTATCTGGGAAAATAAATCCTGTTCTAGTCCTGATGCCCCTAGGTTTATATGGGTTTCAGCTGATATTCCTGCACAAATTGCCCCCTGTCCATTTCCGAAAGTGTCTGACTGAGCCTCAGTGCCACCTGCAGGATGGGGCTGCCTCTACGGGGAAGGAAAAAGCAACCATCTTGAAGGAGAAGGTGACACAGTCTGGAGCTCGGGTGCTGGTGTACACCCCCCAGAAAACCCCGCTGTCTCCTGGCCAGTCTCCACCAACGCGTGACCCCGGCCCACAGTCCAGAGAACCTCAGCTCAGCCGGGAGATCCGGAGACTGCAGAAGGAGCTGAGCACCTACATACAGAGGATCGAGCAGCTGTTTGACAGAGGTACTCTGCGAGGATGGGCGTGTTTGTGTTCTCTGTTCACCTCGGTGTAGCAGTTAATGGGAACTACTGTGACTGTGTGACACCTGGGATAGTGCCGTCTAGCTGAGTGTGTGTGGTGTCAGTGTAGGTGGACCGGCAAAGGAGGACGTGGAGCCAGAAGATGCACGACGGGCGGAAACCCGCAGGCAGGAGCAAGCTGTGAGATCAGCTCGCATCATCTACGTGCTAAAGCAGCAGGTGTGTGTGCGCATGTCCCTTTGTGTGTGTATTTGTGTATTTGTGTTTGGGTCCACGTATGGGTGTGTGTTCACATGCGTCTGTGTGTGCATCCATGTGTGTGTTTGCCACTCTGCACCGACCTCCCAGCCTACTTCAGATGTTCATGGTATGAGCTGAATTCCCCCCCTGTCTCCCCAGGTAAAGGAGATCCAGGAAGATCTGGAAAAGCTTTGTTCACAGAAGATAAAGCATTCAAAAAAAGTGAGGGTCTCATTTGCATGCCGATTCTGCCCTGACAAATGGGGGCTGCTGTATTATACTGGGGGGCCCCAGGTGGGGCATTTGGCCCTCAGAATCATGAGGTAATCTGTGTTTGTTGGAGATACTAATGAGACAGGTGGGGGGCCTCGAGATGCCCCTAATAGGCCCCAGGGTGTAAGACAGTAAGAAAGTGCACAGCCTGCTGATCATTTTATGTGTAACTCAGCTCCTTTTTTCCCCGGTACCCTGCCCCTCCCCCACCGTCTAAAAGTCAAGAGCAATGGATCGCCTGGCAGCCGCTCACAGAGGGGCGGTACGAGCCATACAGGCCTTTGTCACTCAGCTGTCAGACCAATCGGAGAGCGGGATGCCCTCCCATTACAAGGAGCTGGGCCAGCTGATTCGCCAGCTGTCCCTGTGCTCTGCCAAGATGGAGGCAAGGCGGGGCTCAGCCGTCCCTGACACCGCCATTGACATTCTGCAGAGGCTTGAGGTCAGAAGGATGCGTGTTTAATGAGTCCTTCACATATTAATTTATAATTAGCGATAAGCATAGTGTCATGTCTGCCGATTACAAGTGGAGATGCAGCTGTGTGACAAGGCGCCATCTGTCCCATCGTGCTCCGCGCTCATGCAGGCTCTGGACTCGGCGCTCAGCAGGCAGGAGAAGCTGGTGAGAAACAGCAGCTGCCCTGGTGGACAGAAGGCACCCAACACCTCACGGCATAGCGGCTCACCTCCCCGGAGGCCCCCCCAGCCCAATGTCGCGAGGAAGGTCCGGCGAGGTGAGCGTGTGGCCCCCCCTAAGCAGGCCTGCTGTGTTTGTAGTGATTTCAATGCAGGAGGAGTTTTGCCTGTGGATATGTTATCCTGAGCACCGTACAGATTGCAGAAGTCTGCCAGGAATTTTCTGGAAGCCTGGCTTTTCTTTCTATCGCTCTGGGGCCCCCCCCCCCTGCCCCTTTAGGTTCCCCCCTTTGTTAGATACCCATCTTGGTTGACGTCTGTGCCTCCTCTTATCAGACAGGAAGGCTGCTGCCTCTCGACTCCAAAATTGCGAGCCCCCCAACCCAGTCCGTCAGCAGGTGCTCAGGGCAGGGCTGGAGAGGCTGATACGTGCAGGGAGGCTTGGGGAGCAGCAGGCAGGGCAGGGGGAGGAGCCTCGGGGCCCCCCCCGCCCCCAGGGGGTCCTCCTGCCCGAAAGGAGCCAGGTAAGCAGTGAGTGTCAGACTGATGGTAGCATGTCATTCACTACAGTCAGTCTGCTATCCTCGTGCAAACAGGCGATTCATTTTCCCACTGGTTAGTGTTTTGGTCTCTGTTGGGGTGAATCAGGTTGAATTTGCACGCGTGTGTTTCCCGTGTGCAGAGCGGCCCGCCCCGCACCGGCGGGTTTCAGCAACCCACCGTGTCGTCCCGCCTGAAGGCGAGCCAGCCTCCCCAGAGAGGTGGCACCATCCCCTGGGTTCCCACGTCCCCCCACGCCTCGCCCCCCCGCAGGTACGTTGAGTCCTTGTGCTTCGTCATGGTGCCGTGAGAGGCACTCGTTGTGGGGGTGTCCTTGTGGGGACTTTCTACCTGACATGCCCCTGCTCGCCCCCCAGGACTGTGAGGAATTCCCTGGAGCCTCGCTGCCTCTTCTCTGCGTCGCCACCTGCCTCGAGCCCCGTGGGCCAGGGCGTTATCCTGGAGGAGGGGGCCACACGGCGGGAGCCCGGCCTGGGCCCCAATGAGATGCGGCAGGTCCATGCTGAAGCCCTCAGGTCGGCCCCCCCACCCCGTCCTGCCTTTCAGTATGTGTGCTACGTCCCTGGGCCCCGCCTGCCCCCCCACCCTGCCCTGCAATATGAGTGAGGTCCAGAGATGACGCTGCACTGAGTAGCTACACAGAATGTGATGTGACTGGAGGGTTATGCATGTGGTCTCTGGTCATGACCTCCACTCACGGCTGCTGTTGTGGGACAGGCAGGCCTGGCTGGACAGGGAGACGACGCGGAGACTGCGGGAGCTGCAGCGGCTGAGCGCAGAGGAGGCCGAGCTCAAGCGCAGGTACCTCCCCCCCCTCGCCCCCCATACGTTTGCGTTTTCTAGCAGCTCTGTGTCTGTGTTTCTGTCTTTCTCTGTGACTGTGTGTCTGTGTTTGTGTCTGTATTTCTCTGTCTGTCTGTCTGTGTGTATCTGTGTATGTGTCTGTCTGTCTGTGTGGTGATGTGTATATATTACATTATAGGGACCAAAATGTCCCCACAATGTGATGAAAACCTGTTATTTTGACATTGTGGGAACAAGTTTTTCAGTCCTCACAATGATAACTTCAGTTTTATAAAAATTTGAGACTGCAATCAAAAAACTAAAAATGGTGGTAGTCTTGTATATTGTTTGGTTACCTATGGTAAAGGTTAGGGCTGGGTAGGGGTTAGGGTTATGCCCATAGAAATAAATGGAGAGTCCCCACAAAGATATGAATACAAACGTGTGTGTTTGTCTGTGTGCGTGTCTGTGTCCTGCAGAGTGGAGGTGCTGTCTCCCGCTCGTCGGGCTGAGACCGCTGAGCTCAAGCCGACATGCAGACCCCAGCCACCCAGTGGAGCTACAGTGGTAAGTCTCCACCCGCCCACTCACTGTCACTGTCATGGTGACCTCATTATCACAGTGCAGCCCAGAGGCCCTCGGCTTTCACTGGAAAAATTCCGACCAATCAGTACCCGTCACAAGCCTCCGGCTTCATTCTCACATTCCTTAAGCAAAGAGGAACACATTAAGATGGGAGATGCTGTAATGTTGGGAAACATTTGGTTGGTTGTTAGCTGTAGGTCAATTTGTCGACATCCGTGTGCCGATTGGTAGAGACAGAGATGGGAACGTCCCCACGATTGTGGTTGAGCTCGGTCTGTGTCTGTCCCACAGAAGGATGGTGGTTCAGGGGGCAGTCAGGAAGCCTCCCTACGGCAGCTGCTGTCTGAACGGGCCGCGGGCCAGGTGAGTGTCCCAGGGCCAGCTGCAGGGCCGGGGGGGTTACCGCTGGACTCTCTCTGAAGAAATGTGCCCCTGTCGCCTCCTACAGGTAGCAGGGAGTGCTGACCTGCTGAGCGACGCCATACTGGATGATCTGCTGGAGGACACGGCGCAGGCCCTGTGGGCTGTCGAGCTGGGGAGGGAAGCGGAGGACCGGCTGCAGGCCCCCACTCTGGAGAGCATGCTGATCAGGATGGAGGAGATGGAGGTTAGGGTGCCTCGGCCTGCTCTGTCCTGCCCTCCTTCTGTCCATCCATCCATCCATCCATCTATGCGTCTATCTAACCTTTTGTCTGTCTGTCCACCCATTTGTCTGATAGTTTCTCTGTCTGTCCATCTATTTCACTAGTTGTCAGTCCATCTATTAAACAGTTTATCCATCCATCTGTCCATCCTACAGTCCATCCCTCTATTGGTTTGTCTGTATATCTGATCATTCGTCCATCTGACCATCTGTCTGTCTATCCGTCCATCTATCTGTCAGTCTGTCTGTCCATCTCTCTGTCTGTCCAGCCACTCATCCAGGCCCCTGTCTATGCCCCCCCCCCCCCCCCCCCCCCCCGCTCCACAGAGAGATGAGGAAGCGGTTCGCCGTCGTTTCACACACGTCTCCTACTATGACTCCCGGCTCTGGGAGATGGAGCAGGACGCAGGTGAGCAGGGTAGGTGTCTGTGAAATAAAACGTACTGGCCCAATCCCAAACCGGTCCCTACACACCCCGTCTCACCACTCTGCCTGCATTTGTGCATTCCTGAGACCTGTCCCCATATTGAAGTGTGTCTCAAAGCAATAAGGGCTAAGGGGAGTGGTCCATAATGCCCTGGTGAAGCGAGTCAGCAGCGATGACGGTTCATGCAGCTGCCCTACCACTCCAATATCCCACAATGCTTTGCACACAGGAAACGGAACAGCGCGAAAAAATATTGAGGACATTGAGGATATTAAATATCAAGTTAGTATTAAGTTAATGTGACTGAATGTTTAAACACGAATGTTACGTTTGTGAAGACCGTTCATTTTCACTGGCTGAATAGACATGACGGTAATATTCACTACACTGCTGAAAGTCTGGCCCAAGTTTGGTGGACAAATTTTGTTTAATCAGTATGATAAAACCACATCATCTTACAGCGGATAAACTTTTTTGATTCTCTTAACTCATACGACTAATATTATTAAGGAATCGACAGTACTTCCTGAGGGAGCCGTTTCGTCACGTCACAGCATAACGCATTTAGTTTCAGCGTGAGTGTAACTCATAATGAAGGTGGAGTGTTGAGGGTATAGTTTAGGGTCATTGTGTGGTGAGTTTGTTATGTAGCAGTGGCCTGTAGATGGCAGTATTGTATAATTTTAGTAGTGGCATTCTTTGGCCTCTAGATGGCAGCAGTGTTGTTTCTCTGCAGTCATCAGTTCCCTCTCTTTTGACCTCAGCACCTCCTAGGGTGGCTTCTGGCTCAAGGCTTAAGTCTCCTCAGCCCATCCGGCTCACCAAGGCAGCCCTGAAACAGCAGCCCACAGCAGACATCCTCCTGGGGAGACCTGTGGAGGCCAGGTGAGTGTGGGGTCTATCTCAGAGCTTATTTGGGCTGTTTCCATTCCCAGCTGTGTGACTGTCTGTCCGTCCTCACAGCCGGCTTTTTTATCAAAGTGACGGGGTGAGCCACCTCACGGCGGGCTCTGAACCCATGTCCTGCTGGGCGTTTCCTCCCAGCTTCATATTACCATGGTGCTGCTGTACTGTAACCCTGCAAGCCTTGCCGCTGCGTGTCAGTTATGGCTCACGCAGACAAGCGCGCACAGCCAGCGCGCTGAAACGAAAAATAGCGAGATCCCGACCTCCAGGAGGATGTGCGGAGCAGACCAGCCGCCTCTCATCACCAAACTGCTGATCGCCGACGTTTGGCTGTGCAGAGGAAGCCGCCGTGATCAGATAATGTGTTTGCTTCATTAAGCGCCGCCTGGGATGCGGCTCTGTGAAGCCCGACCACACGCGGTCGCCAAAGCAACGGCCTGTTATCCTCCAGTCGGTTCCCAGAGCAGCGACCAAAATAAACGAGGGGGCTTTCGCATGTTTTTGTTCCCTTGGCTGGTGGGCTGCCTGCCGGCTCCGCATGACGTCCGTTTGGGGCGCCGCTCCCACACCTCCGGCCCCGGTGTCCGCTTCCGCGTCCGGGCCTCTGCCCGCACAGCCTAATGAGGGAAATGAAAGCTGGAGGGGAATGAAGGGCCAGGGGGGGGTCGCGGTTATTAAGGGGGATCAGGTTAAGCAGTGGGCAGGGCTGTTAAGTGCGCTCCATGATGCTGCTCCCCCTTTACCCCCCCGTACCCGTCCCCCTCCCCCTCGCCGCCCTCCCCCCTTAACAAAACTGACTGCCTCTTCCTCCAAGTGCCGCAGTCCATGCCGGACATGTGGCGCCCCCCTCCCCTCAGTGGCATGCTGCATGCAGGGTACGGCCCGATTGACCCACAGCCCGTCCTCATCAAAGGCATCGTGCGTCACCCCCCAGCCAATTAGCTGGACAGGAAAACACCGCGGAAATCCAGGGAATGCGAGCGCGTGATAGGCTGTGGCCTCCCAGCGATCAGCCAGTCTCCGCATGTGGAGCGAGTCGCTCAGCCAGTACCGATTCCCAGCAGCTCTGGTACGGTGCGGTCCGAAGTGCCCGGCGCCGAGGACATCCGCAGCCGTGCGGAGCTCGCCGAGGCCTCTCTGCTGGCTGAGCTGCCGTTACCGTGTTCCTCTTTGCCCACTTATCTCCTAGTCTGCTGCTGATGGACATGGTGCTTGTTAAACTGCACCACGCCGCTGTGAGCTCATACTCATGGCGGGGCAATATGTGGCAATAGACGTCCACGAAGTTCCCGCTCCCTGTGAAACCCGTACCACGGTGTGTGGATGTACAGGCGCCCCGTGAAGGTAAGTCTATTTTTGTGATCTGTCAGGCGAGTCTCGTTATAAACTGATGGCGGCGTGACCTGTGACCCCTACATGCCGCCAAACAGGTGCCAGGGAGCCTCTTCCCACTCCGCAGAAACATCAGTTTTGGTTAATGACCTGCAACTTCTTGTAATTAATAATTAGTTCCTTCATTGCCGTCTGTTTGCTTGTGGGTTATTGGAGTCTCGTTACACCTTCATGCCGATGGATGGTTGTGAGGATGCGGCTTCGCCGCTAAGCTTTGACCGGTAGCTGGACGGGGAATCCTGCCTGCTGTAAGCACAGCGTCGCTGCGATCAGTCCCCGGATGCAGAGGTGACGGCAGCCTGGGTGGGGGAGGGCTCTGCCGGTGACATTTCAGTGCACTGAAATAGCCTGCACCCCCCACCTTCCCGCAGCAGACTCCCTAAAATGTGCTTGGTGAGCTCGCTAGCCTGTGACGTGTCAGAATAGTTGAAATTGCAGGCTGTCCAATAGAGGGCATTCTTGCTGTAATGTGTGTATTTATTTATTTATTTTGTCATAGTCCCCCACCCCAGCCCCCCCCCCTGCTGATGGAAAACGATGATTAAGGCTGTGGATATCGAGTATAACAGCTGATTACTGGGCTTGGTTCATTAGTGTCGTCTAGACACTGTCATTGCTGTTTGTCACCTGCTCCTCAGGCTGGGGACACCCCACAGTTTGGAGGGGGGGAGGGGGGAGTCACCATGTATCCGTGCCTCTGCACTTCTCTCACCTGCCCTTGACAGAGGCAGACCTAACAGCCAGCGTAGTGCTCTTCAGGGTCTGGAACTGCATGGTGAACTGCCAATGGTTAAGAAGGGTGGGTGGTTCCACAAGCCACTCCTCCCCCTCCACACCCCCACTGATAACAGCACTACCTGAAGCTTTACCTGATTGCTTACGGAATCAGGCAGCCTCACAGTCGACTGAAATATGGGTCTCTGCTCTTAACGTCCAGTCTTGTGATCCTGCTTTCCTACCTGCTTCTGGTTCCGTCTTCCTACCTGCCTCTGGTTCCGTCTTCCTACCTGCCTCTGGTTCCGTCTTCCTACCTGCCTCTGGTTCCGTCTTCCTACCTGCCTCTGGTTCCCCCTTCCTACCTGCCCGCCCGCTCGCAGTACTCTCTCCTTTCTTCTCTCCTTTCTGTATCAGAAGTCCTCCATCACTTGATCCTGTTTGCTCTTCGTGCACTTTAAGTTGGTTTAAATCTCTGCCTCAACCAGAAAAATGAGTTTAGCACCTCCCTGTGTGAGATTATTTGTTCATCAGTCCTGTACCCAGCAGCCTGGGAGCCCTAGCCAGCGAGGGCTGCCCTCTCCACCGCCCTGCCAGGAAATGAACACTCCAGTGGGTGTTACGGCGTGAAGTGATCAGAAAGTTATAACCCTGCACTTTCACACTCCTCTCTCTATCCATCTCTATTGTCTTTTCATCGATCTCTGCTCAGTTCTCAGAACGCTGAGCAATTTCGCCATAACCTGACCCCCTCCCCCCCACTTCCGATTGAAGCTCCCAGCCGCTGTTGATTTGCCACCTGTGGCCTTCAACACAGATTTTTCTCTTTCAGGCTGATATTTTTGTGCTCTGATTGTTTTGTTTATTTCTGCTGCCTTGTTTAGTTTCACCTGCCGGAGTTTCTCCCTTTCCTCTCGTAGAGAGCGCTTTATTTCGCCTCTCCTCTGCTGTTTTTCCTGGTTCACAACGGATCCTGAGTAACATTGGTCATCCTCTCCTCATCCCTCGTCCCTGCCCTGATAGGAGCACATCCCGTTTTCCTCTCCGCGTGACCCCGTCGCGCCTGGTTCGGGGTGGCGAGGGTTTCATTTCCGTCGCTGCTGATGTTATCGTTTAGATCAGCGGCCCGGACCAGCCTGCGTCCTCCTGTTGAGCGAGGAGCACATAACCGAGCGTGTCAGCGAGTTGGCCGGTATTCCTGAGGAATTGAGCGTGATGTCACTCCTCCTGTTGCCGGGGAGCAGGGAGCCATGCCCTCAGGCGTAATGAAATGGCACGGCCACTGCCGACCGCGCGGACAGAGGGGGGGCAGCTCTGAGCCGCCCACACTGCCTCTGTGCTAAATTTAACCACAGAGATTGGAGGTGCTGCTGCCGGCTCTGGTGGGGGGTGTTGGGGCCATAGGTCTGTGCTACCCTAGGTAGACCCACCCTCCACCCCCCCACAGCAGTGCAAAGATGTGGCCCCACCCTCGGTCATCTTATCCATGAGTTCAGCCGCGCATGGTGAGGGAGGTGGCAAACAGGACTAAAGGCTGTCGGAGGGTTAGGGCTGACACACACATACACACACACACACACACACACACACGGGGATACAGACGCTTTCTAACCCTCTGCATGCCAAACACTCCCAGCTGTAACTGTCCCTTGTTCTGCCCCTCTCCAGCCCCCTGCCAGAGACCTCTGTCACAGATGACCCCCCAGCTGAAATGTGGCCCCCCCGCACTGGGGCCGGCACGGTGCTCTTCCTTCCGCCTGCCGCCCAGAGGAGCCTGCTCGGGTACTGGGAGCGGCACCAAGCGTACCTGCGGTTGGTGTCGCACGAGGCCGTGGGCAGCTTTGACCCCTGGGCCCTCGCTGACAGGTATGAGCTCGGCTTGGCCTGAGCGCCAGCGTCTCCGTGGCGATCGCGCGTACCGGCAAGCAGACCTCGCCTCTGACATGACAATGGGACCAGGTTAATTATATTAGTCTCCCTGCATTCTGATGTGTTTGTTTACCTGCTGTTGGCATGGAAACGCTCCACTGAGGGACCACCGACTCTTCAAACATTATTTTATGTTTATTGAATGCATTTTTACCGCTAAGGCCAGCAGTTTTAAAAGACCTTTTTGTAGTAGCTTTTTGCTGTTTGAGGTGTGAATCGGACAACTGATCAGCTTGCTGGGCGTTAAGCAGTCTGCCCCCCTTTGCCCCCCCCCCCCCCAGCCTGGCAGACGAGCTGCTGGACGAGGCCCTGGCAGAAGTGGCAGGGGAGTTCCAGGATGCCTGTGAGGAATACGCCGAGGCCGTGTTCACCTCCGAGTTCCAGCAGCATGGCTGAGCTTCAGGGCAAGCTGAGAGGGGGCGGGGCCCGTGTTGGGGGCCCGTGTTGGGGCCAGCTCCTGATCCTCGGTGCAGTGTGTCTTTCAGAACGTATGGTGTCAGTATTGGGGTATAAAGCAGCCAGCATCCAAACAATGTGTTTTTATTTGCTCTGCGTTTTTAATATGTTTATTATGCATCATATTTATTATATGCAAAAGATCGCTGCATAATTGTTGAATAAATTTAGTATCTTTCATGATTGTGAGTAATGTTAGTGTTCATCATGTTTTCTGATGGAGAGATGCCTTCATAGCATGTTAGCGTCCTGGGGGGGGGCAGGGTCTGCTGTCAGGCTGTCATGAGCTGGGATTAAATTACTGTAATGAGAGGATCTCAAAGGAGCCCATCTCCTCTTGGATCCTGCCAGTGAGCCTGTGATGATTAATCAAAGCATCTTCCCGCTGGCACTCCCAGTAGGATGCTGGGTCCCTGGGGGGTTGGGGGAACAGGGACTGGCTTTCCTGGGCAGCGCTTGTGTGGGCGGCACCTAATGAGTGAGGTTATGCTGGATGTGCAAAGGAGATGGGGCCACCAGCCAATGCGATGTCTCTGGCTGGGGTGGTAGCGGCCGCCTTAACCCTGCAGGGGGACGATTTGGCTCTGGATGGCGATCCGAGGGTACTGCAGCCACACTCAGAAGCAGGACCGTAATGCTGGTGATCTCACCAGGCCGAGTCTCACGCTAGCACGCCATTGGCGGGCACAGAGAGCCGACTGTGTGTCTGACCCATGGGACAACGCTGTGTCAGGCATCAACGTTTTCTCTCAGCCAATAAAAACCCTCCTCACACACAGTGGCCAATCAGATAATCCTGCAGCCTCACTGACAGGTTCACATGGGAATCCACATGCATGTCCTACACCAGCAGGGGGTCTCGCTTTTCCCAGCGATAACATGACCAACGAGGAGTGGCTGGATGTGGCCTGTGACTGACAGCATGCAGCAATCCTCACGTCTCATGCTGTCATCACCACCACACTGGCCCCCGGGGCGTCCCAAGCGAGCTTCTTTTATATGTTAATCGTCTCAAACAGGTGCTCATTCTAATTATGCCCAATTAAGAGCCAGATACACTCCAGAACCACAGGTGGTTTCAGGTTGATTTATGACGTGCTGGAAGGTCTCCAACCTCTCCGCAGGGTGCAGCACATGTCTACTGTGCCATCTGTGTCTACCTCTGACCCCTTGTTACATCTGAGGATGGCTGGAGTATTTCATTGTTTTTTCTTGTAAACAGTCGGATAAGCACATGGTTTCAAATGCTACAGAGTTCCCAGCCAGCCAAAGAGGCGACGTGGTTCGGGGTCGCTGGCAGGTAGGTGTACAGGCTGCTTCTGCTGCTCTTGCTCAGTCACCTCTAAGATGCAGATCCCACCTTAGCGTCTGGAGCTGGGCACCCAGAGCTTGGTCACGCTGCATGTCATGTTGGCATTTCTAACCTTTTCTGAAACTCCATCGTCAGCCAAAACACCCATCACTCGCTTCCAATGTGACTTTGAACTACGGTAATCGGCTATGGACATAAGCTGCCCAGCTGAGACACTCCATGCCGTCATCAGGCAAGTCCTCGCAAGACCTTAACAGCACCTCCTAATTGTCACTTGACATTAGTAAGTGACCTAATCTTGGGTGACAGTCACTGATTTCATCTTTCATGGAGGACCAAGGTGTCAGCAGATGTGCCTGTGGATTAAAGCTCCTGACCATTTTAAAACCTGCAGCCCTTGAGGAACACGGTGGGAAACCCCTTACCAATAGTGTTTTTTGTGCTGTGGGTACTGATTTTGGCCTGTAGGACTGTGCTTGTCCATCCAGCCCTTGGGGACCATGGGCATATTTTTTGCTTCCACCCAGCTTCCAACACTGGTGTAGGGGAATCCAACACAGCACTAGGTGTGCAGAAGTTATCCTCAAGATTTACTCCTAATCATTAATTTAGCAACCTGTGTTAGATGCTAGTCAGGTGGTGATTGTCTAAAACCTTGAAGGCTTTGGGGATCAGGGTTGGACATTTGTAATTTTTTTTCCACTGTCACTTTACGTTTATCATTCTTCTTTAGTGCACTTTTTTATTCAGAAAATTTTGTATAATTTTATGAGTCCTCTGTCGACTGAATCCATTTTGACTGAGTCTTAGCCTTCAGTAAAGGTTTCGAGGATTTTGGAAATGATAGGGAATAATAGGGAAATTATTTGAAAGCGATAAAGAGCAGTTAACGTCAGAGCACTAAGACGGTCTGAAATGAACGGCAGTCAGCCGTAGAGACCCCTTCTGTACGGAAACCGCGTCTGATGAGTCCTGCGGTTCACTAAAAATCTATCCTCTCGGACCTGTCAGTATATCCACAACTGTTCCCTTTGCAAGGCCGGTTTACAGCTTCAGTACAAAGGTATATGTCACACTGTCCTTATACACAGTGTGTGACAGCCCACAGTGTGTGTGTGTGTTATTCGTCATGACTGGGCTATATGGTAGTAGTGCACTTAGTACGCAAAAATAATTATTTCAGGAGGCACTATATGCGTCAGATCTTCCATTTATGTCGCCGAGTCAACTAGAAATCAAGTTAGAATTCCTGAATTTGTAGGTTGTGAAAAATTGTTGATTTACTATAATATAAGAGCATTTGGTTTATAATGCATAGAATACTGCAGTTCGGTGGGTCTCACGTTGAAACTCGCATTGTCTTAAAGCTATTTCGCGCAGCTGGAAAATTTAATTGTGCTTCAATTATTTATCTGCGAGTCTATGCTCAGCTCTCCGCACAGATAAATTGTTTTAACACATAATTGGGGTGCTTTCAAAATCCCGGTAATTGCCCTGCTTTTTGTGCCTTCGCAATTATAATTCACAGTTTTCGTGCGACGCACGAGCCTACAGATATACTGGAAATAACACATAATACGGATGTTGCGGGTATATTTGCGAAGACACCATCCTCATACTAAAACTAGCATAAATGACAGGTCGAAGATGCAGCCTTTTAGTAGTACCCATGTGCACCGCTTGGGGCAGTCAAACACTGCCTCAATAAAAAGTGTGTGTGTGTTTATTATTAATACAATACAGTAGAAAGGGGGCAGGTCTGAAGTCTTACGGACCGCAAAGACACAAATGCGTAAAGTGTGTTCGTAGCTCCAGGCGAGCAGTGGCTCCGCTGCCTTCGTATCCCCGACCGTTAGAGCTGCGTAGCTCCTTCAAGGGGGAGACCCTCTGCCGCGGTGCTCCTTAGCGGCTCCAGCGCTGCGGTACGGCGGGCTCCGAGGCGCGGGTCCGAGGAGGTGGAGAGGGCGCCTCCGCGGGCAGGACCGCATGCGAAACACGCAGCAGGAGACGCGTCTCCTAACCTTACTGTCGGCAAAGGGAAGAAGGGCGAGACGGCATGGCGAAAGAAACGAAAGGTAATATAGAAATATATTTGTTTTTTCATCTTTTTAGGAAAGACTTACCCTCATAGTCTTTTCATTTTGTTTTGATCCTGCATCGTGTCCCCGCAAACAGGTAGCCCAAACCGGTGTTGCCTTGGTCCCCGTAAAATATCTCAGCGCAAATCGCTTCAGCTCGGTGCAATCTGTCGGAATGCAATGAGTGTCCACCGAGCAAGACGATCACATCTCATGTGTCACCATTCACTGGAAAGTCAAGTAGTTATTTTCTAATATCCCACTCCCGTAATACGCACCTCTAATGTATCCGCTGACAAATGTCTTTGAGAAAGCAATGTCTCTGAATGCAGAACTGTAATCGGCGGTTTTTGCCGATTTACTACACCCCCGAGTGACATTTTTCTCTTAGCACAAACTTGCCTTTTCACTGGGAAGACGGCGCTTATTGAATTATTGGAGTCGCTTCCATATGAACTGCGGCGCGATCTCACACGCACATGCGGGCGCTGTCTATCCGGGGATGGTTCCTCTTTCACCAGGACCTAAATCGTTTCGCGTCCAGACAAACTGAAACGTATATCCCCACGAAGCCGGGGGTGTCAGACTAAGTGAAAAATGCCCAGCGCGATTTCATGGTTAGATGACTAAGATGAATGCGGGGGCTTTGAGGAATATCCTCTTTCTGCTTATTTTTAACGCTGGGAAAAAAAACAAAATACGGCATTTCTTAGAGATATGCCCACTTTGCGTGTTTTTCCCGTTTGCTGCGTGTGCCCTGAGCGCATGTGACCCAGGGTGCAGACGCGGACAGCCGGACCCCGACGCACGCAGGTGGCTAACAGACCTCGGACTCTTGCCAGGTCGGCCCGTCTCCGCCTCTGAAGACGGCTGTGCCCAAACCAGCCGGATATTTTTTAGGAAGTGCATTGCATAACGTAGAGTTCGTCATCAAGACATAGAATCACGTGAAACGGTGTGTGTGCCGTGCTTCTGTATTCATCCTTAATGTGTGGAGTTCGGTAGGTCTGGCAGACAGGTGTGTGTGCTGCAGCCTCCGGTCTGGTGTTTAGGGAGGGGCAGGGCCTTTGCACCCCAGGAAGTAATTCTTAAGGTTATTTCAATGATTGTTTTCTTTTAATATACATAACCTTGCCTTCTGAGAGCAGTGAGCCATATCCCATGATGAACCAGTGTCCTGGAGCCCTGCTCCTCGGGGGGTGCGTGAGGTGAAAGCTTGGCCAGTGAAGCAGAAAGATTACACTTCCTGTTTGTTTTGCTCCTCAAGGTCGGTACCCTGAGTTTCCTGACTGCATTGAGTTTGAGAATTCCCCCAGACGGGACAATGCAGCGCTGGGTGTGAGTGTGTGTGTGTGTGTGTGTGTGTGGGGGGGGGGTTGGGCTACCTCATGGACCTCAGTGCCATGAATCTGCTCCACCCTGCTGTGCTTGGGGCATTTTGTGATGTTGCAGTTGTCTGGGATACATGACAGCACTTCTGTATCGTCGGAAGTAGTTTTTATCTGCGAGAGTTTATCAGTCACAATAGTAAGGTCATACATCTGCACGTTTGGTCTCGGGTGATTTCGTAACAAGCTGTTTTTCGGGAAGTCAGCCACTAAGGAAAACAGGGCGTGAGGCGTGATTTCATTAGCTCGCAGGCGGCGTCGTGCTGTTTCCGCTGCTCTGCAGGTATGTGCTGTGTTTCATAATACGGGCTGCACAGTAACTTCGGATTATAACTGGAAACGTCAGCAGAATCTGCTGTGCATCGAGGCCACGGATGTGTGACCGCGGTCGACCTGGGTCGCCGCCCGGCAGCCGCGGGTCACCGTCCGGCAGCGGAAGCGTATGAAGGCGGCGCAGGGCCCCCGCTGATGTCATCGTGTGCTCCATGCGCTCGGACACCCCCACGGTGTACGCTAGGAAGCCCCAAGAGCCAGAAGAGTTGTGGCCGTACAGCAGAGGGAAGAGCAGCCTGTAGCCGTGCCGCAGATTAGTGGAAGCAGCGCCACAGGCAGTCCCTGCATTAGCCCTCGTCGTTATTTAATTGGCTTAATTTGTGATCGATCAGTCGACTGAAAGGATGCGGAAGGGTGATGTTTCTGTGTCCCTGTAAATAATCCGTAGTGACGTTTCTCGGGGTGTGGGGGGGAGGTGAACTGTACACTGCACCGATGGTTGGGGGCCGCACTCTTCATGCGGGGGTGGGGTGCATGCGCTCAGTACTGTTCTGCGACACCTCCCTGCGGGTCTCCGTCAAATTCCGGGTCCCTCGGCGGGTCTGATCTGAACTGACACTTTCGTCACTTTGGTGACCCGTGTTCCACGGTGGCCTTGCTGGGTATTGAACGAACAACCACCAGACCCCAGGTGTTTAAATGCCCTGCTGTCTGTTTCACATTAACTCTATTTTAAAGGCTGTAGTGAATGAACAAAGCTGGAGAAAAATCACAAAGAATAGTAACAATAAAAAGTTTTACAGTGTGATTAAATATTAGGTATCAAAAGGTCACACAGTGAATACAAACCCTCTTTGTCTTGTTATAGTCATGCTACATTTTAATCTCGAGGTCTGATTAAAATGCGAAAGACTAAGGCTCATTATTTACTGGGCTTTCAGAGTGCAGGCTCAGCCCCCCCC